AATTATTTACAGGAAAGTTAAGGGAATTTTACTTTACCAAGGGTTCCCAAGACCAATTTTGTCTACCAATGATCAGAAAGGGATGTTTTGTAGACAATTGGTCGAGGGAACCCGTGGTTAAGTAAAATTTTTAATTTCCTGAAAAAGTAATTGTACACAATGTTATGGTCTTTTGAGATGAAAATGCGCGAATTTTTTTCCCGAAAACGTCGCAAAACGAGTGATTATTTTACATAACTGTCCCAAGGGAGTTAACTTACCTCCTACTGTTGGGGAAATCATAGGTCTGTGATATTGGTCAACACTCAACAGGCGGTAAAAATCATAAATGATCTTATATACAGTGTATTTTTGTAATTATAAGATTTGTTGTATTATGTTTCAGGATTATGTTTCTAATTTAATTCTAGAAATACTAATTATTATGATCTCTCTCTCTCTCTCTCTCTCTCTCTGAACCCACGCCTGAGAACTGATGATGTGTTAATAATCAAAGCTTAATTAAAGGTATAATTGAATAATTTAAACTTAATTAGATATAATTGAAAATACTGTTTTATCCCCGACAACGCGACCATGTGATCAAATTAAAAACCGATTATATACCACATTCATCATGATATTCAACAATTAAACAGTAAAAACTAAAATCCGCGAAAGCAATATTTTTCTCCAGCAAAATCTATTATTGTGTTTCAATACATATGAAATAAAATGTTATAAATTATAGTTTTAAATATATCAAAGTATGGAATTTCCAGGCTTTACAATAAACACAACGGGTCCCTCCCCCTCTCCACCCACACACAGGCAGGTCTACTGCCCTGCTATTGGGTGGTTGGGCTGGAGCTGGTTTGTAGGTGATGTAACTACAATTAGCTGGTCTGGGGGAAGCTCTGCCTGCCTCGGCCCGCGTCTCTATTGTTTTGCATTAATTGGTGGCCGGGACTAAAGAACTAATGAGAGCTGGGCGGTGGTTGGTGGCAAAATGGCGGCTGTATGGGGGAGGGGAGGGGGGGTGCCCCGGCCTCTCATTAAACTAGATCTACTAACGAACCGACCAGCAACAAGTGTTGATGAAGGGATGGACCCGGAGAATGGATAGATAGATACAAGGATCGCGGGATGGAGTAGGACGGAGAGAGGGTAGGACGGAACGGAGAGGAGAAAGAGGACGGAACTGAGAGAGAGAGAGCGGACGGAAGAGACAAAAAGCGGACGAATTACGAGGATTGTAAGAATACCAGACAAGATAACTATTGAAAAAAAAGAATCTTCTAAAATAAAACTATAAAATGATTATGTAAAACTATAGTCAAGATTAAACTCTCTGGATATTTTACTATCTATCTTTTAATCCACTGGATCAATTATCTAATTGATATTCCAACATCATTAGAAGGAAAGCATTTGATTGTCCATCAGTCATTTATGACTATCTCTAAAAATATATTTATCTATTGCAACCGATCTGTCTATATATCTCTATCTATCTACGTTTCTATTCGTCTATTACGTATATCTGCCCTAAGTGTTAGTCAAGTTCAAATCTAACTGCCATTGTTAGAAAGAAAAATTATAATTTATTGATATTTCTAGTTCAAAATTTCCCTGGATGAAAAATAAAATATTAAATTTAAATTCCGACGTTTTAGAAGATTGAGAACAAGAAATAATTCATACAGTAGAAAATTAAAAATTTAGAATATTTTCGGAGAAAAAAAAATAATGGTTTATGAAATTGTACTTTGTATTTTTTATTAGGGGGAAGGTTGGGGGCGGTGGGGGGGAGGGCTGACGTTGAGGTTGCTATTTAAGTGATATTTAAAGTTTTCTTATAAAAATCTATCTGTCTATTTATCTATATATCTATATGGTCTAAACTCACCAACCAAAACCACAATAAAACTGCAGTTTTCGTTTCTATCTATCTATCTATCTATCTATCTATCTATCTATCTATCTATCTATCCATCTATACATTTATCAATCTATTTATCATATATCAATCTATCTATCTATTTATCATCTATTTAATTATTTTCTGTATGTTTTTCATCTCTATATTTTGCACTATATCTTGTTATATATATTCATGTACAATGTACATATATATTTGTTTACTTATCTACTTTTCTATCTATCTATCTATCTATCTATCTATCTATCTATCTACATATCTATTTTGAATATTGATTGTCGTATAACAAGTGTTACATCCTTTACTCCAGTACCTTCATCCTGAAAGGGGTGTTTATAAGGAATAAGGGGGGGGGTACACCCCTTTTACCCGAAGGGTAAAGGGCTCCCCTTTAGAACAATAACTATATTTTTGAAGCTTAGTATTCGTTTTACAAATTCTGAAATATCTTTTATTATTTTTTTGCTCAGTTAAACCATCCTCTCTTTGTTAAAAGAAATTTAAAGATAAAACTATTTAATTTCATTATTGTTAGAAAGAAAAATGACATTTGTTTTAAAATTGGAAATTTTAATGATTCTACAAAATATTCATGAAAGTACAATTGCAGTTTAAATTTAGCGGGAACAAGGAAAACAAATGTTATTTGACAAAGTAAGAAAATTATATTTTTATAAAAATAAAAAATGCTTGTTAATTTTGATAAAAATCTTGAACGAAAATTCCCTAATTTAACAGTTGGGGAAAATGTACGCAATGTACGCTTGTCTATTGGCAAAGTGCCCAGCATATTTTTGATAAAGTTTATGTTTGGGCTGCGCAGACAAGACGGATTTATGATTATACTGCGCAGAGGTGAGATGGGGGAAAATGTCGCGAGAAATGTGCACATGGGAAAAGGGGGAGGGGGTGGAGTCCTTTGGTCCATGGTGTTACAATCCTTTTGAGTCCGCTCCAAATATTTAATATTAATAATTGTATTACATATNATAAAGATGGATTCGTGATGAACAAGAACTATTTGTGGAGAAATTATATTTCGTTGATTAGTCCCAACCCAAAACCTCATCCCACGCATAATCCAAGCTCTATTCAATTGGCAACCTTTAAAAATGGGGCGGAAGGTGGGGGGGGGGGGTATTTAGTATCAAGTTTTTTGTCCGACTGTGTATAAATGTTAATATATGTTGTCTAGAGGAAGCCTCCTGTCATATTTGCTTTTTAAAGGTCGTTTCTGCATTCCACATTCTATACAAAGAATTTAAATCTTGTTTGCGCCAAAAATATGCTTTTATTGCGGTTTTTTTAGCTCTTATCTCGCGGATTTTTATCTGTAGATCTGATTGTCGATAAATTTGCTCCGCAGACATTAATTTGATTCGCTGTGTCTCTGGCGTGGCAAAACAAACACCCAACGACACAAATATTGTGGGGGAAAGATAGAAAAACGTAACACAATATTTTTCAGCCCAATATTTAGCCAAATATGACGAAAATATGCTTCTACACTTTCACCGTGTTTTTAAATATTTCACAGACACTTATCTCAGCTGTTTTTTCCTCCAGACGTTTGGCAAAGTTAATTTGAATTTTTGCAAAATCAATTACTTTGGGCAATGTTGTGTCATAAACGTATAGTTAGTCAGAAGGTTTCTCTTAAAAGACCTGATGGAAGGGTCCCCAAGGGACCTAGGGCTGGACAGATAAAAAAGGTGAAATAATGTAAAGGTTAGAAAAAAAGGGGACGGTTGACAAAGTAATCACCCCCTACTCTAATATAAATAGACAGATAGATAAAAAATAATGATAGATAGATATATAGATAGATAGATAAATATATATTTATAAAACGAGAAATACTTGGATCAATCGAGAATCGACGACAACAATAAATCGGGAGTAGAAAAGAGAGACAATGATACTTAAGACTTGGAGACAATAGGCCCCGGGATTGCATTATAATAGAATGAAATGGAATTAAAAGCATGATAATTCAAATGCTCTAGTGGCAAAAATAAACATGTCACTTTTCGTTTAAACAATAATTTTTAAAACGCCAGGCTTTCAGAAGAGAATGAAATGTTATGAAAAAGGAATTGAGTCTTTGTCACATCCCTATATCATTGAAACCCAATGGCGTAGAACTATGTTATATTAGATCAAATACTTTAAGTTCGAGATATTAAAGGTAAAAATTGAGTTTGTGGCAAAGACTTAATTCCTTGAAAGAAAATGGCGAATATGATGAATATTCTATAAGTTGTGGACTGTAGCTCATTTGGCCCCAACAATTATATTAAGCCGAGGACGCTGCCAAATGAGGTTAAGATGGGTCCAGAGCATCTAGCGTACACTATACAGGACGAGACCTCATCAAACCTCATCATACATAATTATCATAATCAAACAACAATAACATACAAACAAAACAAACATATTCTTCCACAGTGGGATCCATACAACTGGAATAGAAAGACGACATTTAAGCAATCTTATGTGTTTTAATCCAAACTACTAAAATATTGAACTTAATAATTTTTGAACATTAAACCCATACAAATAAATAGAAAAGACAAAAAATAGATGAAAACCAGCATACAATATTTCTTGTATCAAAAATAAAAACAACAAAAAATATTTGAAACAATTTAAATACACAGAAAAAAGAATGAATGAATCAAATAACCAAAAAATAGATGAATTCTAAAAATATGTTTATATCATGGCAAAATGTTCATTATTCTCATAAAAATGAAATTTAAAAAAGTAATAATTATATATGTATAGTACTTGACAATGACAATAGTAATTTAAATATTATCAAATTTGAAAGTACTTGAGAAGATATCTTTATTTCTATTTAGTTTATTGACAATTTTGATCAGAAAAGATTTGATAATTGTATTGATCAGACTTTAATTCCTGAAAAGCATTATGCCATTATATTATAGAGTTTTCTATATATTTTATATCGGCCGCCATGTTTAAAAACCAGTTTATTGAAACAGGAAAATCCGCAACTTGTGTACACTGAGACACTGTACAGTTTATTTTATCGAGCCCTAAACCATACAGATATGGTTCAGATAGTTTAGAAGATGATACGTCTGATTGTCTCTAGGTCTGCGAGGAATAGGACGGGTGGGATATAGAGCTAAGCTATAGGTTGGGATTTCGAGATTTTTTCATCTGTATGATGAGCCGGCAGTGTGAAGAGACCAAATGAGCGGTACAGGGCTGATTTCCCTTCACCCCCCCCCCCCTCCCTTGGACCTCGGTGTATAGAGTGGCGAGGAACTCAGCTCCAGTCGAGTGCGATCCACCCCGCTAGAAGGAGCCGTGCACCGCGCAATTGTCTGCGCTAAACCTAGTGATATCAAACTATCGAAACAAATTAGTTCAAAATGTTAGTTTTATTACATTTTAGTCAAATTTAAGGTAAATATAAAACTTTTCTTTATGACAGTGCCATAGAAGTAAAATGCCCTCTTTTTTAAATCAGTGAAATTGAGAATGAAAGAAATCAAAGCCTTTTTAAAATGATCATATTCATAATTTAATAATTTAAAGAGAACTGTCGTTTTAAGAATTTTGCCTTATTATGAATAGCCTAGTAGTCCATAGTAATCATGCAATATCTTTTTGTCTCTGTCTGCGGCGGTCTTTTCCTGTTTCCCGAATAAAACCAACCATCAAGCTCCTCTATTCAGTCCCAACATTTATTCATGTTTTTGTCTTGTTGAAACATTAATATGTAAACAAAGCCGCATGCAATGGTATTATCCACCGTCATTTAGTTTTGAAAATATGAACATTTATAATCAATTTTTACGATGTAAAGAATTTTAAATGTCATGATTTTGTATCATGGTTGAGAAAAAAATATTAATAACAGAAAATTTGGAGCAAAAAAGTAGCGAAATATAATCTTTTTAATTACCTCTTTAACCATTTTCTTCTTGTTTCACATTCCGCAATAAAGATAAGGAAAAAACTAGCACTTGTGTGCACAATTTGTTACTTTACAAAAAGGACTTTTAAAAATTTTAATTTCCAAAATTCTGTTCGTAAAATAAAAAGAAAGAGATTTAAATAGTCCTAGAATAATATCGTAATAATTGTCATAAAATGGGTTTTTTAATGCTTCATAAAAATCTTCTCAAGAATTTGATTTGGATGTTTGGAAGTCATATATTTATCTTGTAGGTTGGATTTATTATGTATACTAATCCTCATATTTGATTTGGATGTTTGGAAGTCTTAAATTTATCTTGTAGGTTGGATTTATTATGTATTCTAATCCTCATAAATCTAAAAATATATTTCTCTTTATAATCATAAATTTCTCATTACATTTTTTTATTCATAATTTTAACTTTTTTATAAATTAGAGATCGTTTATATCATCTTTTAACAAATTTCAGTTTGATCTTTTAATAGATTTTCTTTGATTTTATGATTAAAATATCTATTTTATCTATTTGTGTGAAACAAAAATATCTTTAATTATCGTTCTTTATCTAAAATTGACAATTATCTATATATATATATCTGTTTATAGATATTTGGGAGACCACATATCCCCACACCTCTTCAAATTTAAGATTGTTGTGGTTAATATCTGGGTGCTACATCTCTCTTTCTTGATCTAAGCTCGTCTTATCTTTATGGGTCTTTTTCTTAATTTAATTTGTTTTGAGTGTTAATCCTGCCCGTTTATATTCAACTCAACCCTGGTCTAAGGTGTGGAACAGACATTCTTACGCCGTGTTTTACATTCAAACTGTGTTGGGATAATTAAACATAAATTATTGTTTGTTCTGTAGCGCGCCGCGGCAATCTGCGCTTACAGAGAGAACAGCGCCAGCCTGGCTAATTCTTAACCCGAGCCATGTAATTAAATATTTCGTGTGTTTAATTTTCTGCAAGTCAGGGTAGTTTACTCGAGGTACAGAGCTAGTAATTAGAACCGATGATGGTCGGGGCGGGAGGATGGGGTTAGAAAATGCGGGAAATGAAACACCCACCCACCGTGTCGCAAGTTTTTGCGGATTTTGGCAAATTTTTGTGTGTATCGGATGAAATCTTGACAGGGCAGCGCAAAAAGTGTGTCCCGTGAGTAATTACATGACATTATCATCGAAATTTTGCTCCATATTTAGTATTAATTTTTATGGAATAATTTAGTTTGAAAACTTGAAGTTTGAGGGGCGCTTGTGTAAATATCCTGCTAAAAGCTGGGCTAGGGAAGTTTGGCCAATGTTAGGTTTTTTTATTTGGCTTAAATATCAGTTCCTGCAAGAGGGAATTCTTTAACCTTTCTGGGTTTAAGACCATTCGGCCTAAACAGCAATTTTAAAATCTTTTAGTTTACAACGATAAACCGAGGGAATCGAGCCCAACGATTTGATTGATCGATTGATGAGGATGTGGGGGGGGGGTAGAATTGATGGATCTAGGTGTGAAGGATATTATATATATCAATCTCAAGTAAATCCAATGATTTTCTTCAATTACATGTTTTGTTTCATCTTTGTGATTAGAGTTCAATTCTGGTTCTAATATTGCAATATCGTGTAAGAAATCCTCCAAAATTCTTAATATCTTGACACCATATTCCAGCCTCCCTAACCCACAAAAAAAACTCTTTTATCCTCCCCGGCCTTTTCGTAAAAAAACTTAACTTTTTCCTATATTTATCATTTTCAGTCTAGGTCTCCTAAAAACCCCAATTTTCACCTTTATAATTCTTTCAATAGTTATACCTTCTCCCCCACCCCCTTTTCACCCATTTCCTCCCCCCTTAAATATCCAAGACCTAATATAATGACAGGCAGTTAGGCAGTCCCTACAGCCCCGCATACATTGGGTACATTTTAATGTACATTTAATTAATCTAAATTATGTTTTTTAGTGCTCCCCCCCCCTCCAGTTTTTCTGTCTCCAAGCTTTACTCCCCGTCCCCCCCCCCCATCTTGATGATTGTTATGATACCACCCTATGTATTATTAAGTATAATCAATAAGACATTATTAAAGCCAGGCTAAGAATTATCTTAAAATGCATGAAACTGATATTAAAATCCTGTTAATATTGGACCCCTCCTAGTCCGACATTTCTTGGGGGTTACACCCCCCCCCCCTCTCGATGTTATAATGATAAATCACTCTGTTAGTTCTCTCAATTTTTTCCCTGTACCAACTATATTTTCCCTGTACCAACTATATTTTCCCAGTACCAACTATATTTTCCCTGTACCAACTATATTTTCCCTGTACCAGCTATATTTTCCCTGTACCAATTATGTTTTCGCTGTACCAATTATATTTTCCCTGTATCAACTATATTTTCCCTGTACCAACTATATTTTCCCTGTACCAACTATATTTTCCCTGTACCAACTATATTTTCTCTGTACTAACTATATTTTCTCTGTACCAACTATATTTTCCCTGTACCAACTATATTTTCCCTGTACCAACTATATTTTTCCTATACCAGCTATATTTTCCCTGTATCAGCTATATTTTCCCTGTACCAACTATACTTTCCCTGTACCAACTATATTTTCCCTGTATCAACTATATTTTCCCTGTACCAACTATATTTTTCCTGTACCAACTATATTTTCTCTGTACCAACTATATTTTCCCTGTACCAACTTTATTTTTCCTGTACCAGCTATATTTTCCCTGTACCAACTATACTTTCCCTGTACCAATTATATTTTCCCTGTATTAACTAAATTTTCCCTGTACCAACTATATTTTCGCTTTTCATGCCAATATCAATTCCTTCCTTTTATTAAGGTTTAATTTAGGGTTTCCACGAAATGGCTAAATCTTTTGCGCTATTTTTGCGCATGAAACGCAATGAGTTTTGCGCTATTTTTTTGCGCAATTTGCGCAAAACCGGAAATATTTTTTGCGAAAGTTGCGCATGAAACGAAATTTTAGTTTTGCGCAATTTTTTTTCCGCAATTTGCGCAAAACCGCAAGTTTTACGCAAAATGTAACTTTTTAGGCACATTGTCAAAAATTGATATTCTAAGCTTAGAATTAAACAACTGAAGATTTATTCCATACATAAAAAAAAATATTAACATACGAGAATGATAACGATTATACTACACTCAATTGGTTGCTTCCAGTAACAAAAAGTGAGGGGGGGGGGGTGGAGAGATCTATTTGTTCCATAATTCATTATTCACAAGTATTTACAGAGAAATCTGACAGTGCTAGCAAATTAGTGGTATAAACACCCGTTTCTTCAAGCTAGTAGCTAGTAGCCAATATCTAGGATATGACAGCTCTATGCTAGTAGCCAATATCTAGGATATGACAGTTCTATGCTAGTAGCTAATAGCTAGGATATGATAGCTCCAAGCTAGTAGCTAATAGCTAGGATATGATAGCTCCAAGCTAGTAGCTAATATCTAGGATATGAAAGCTCTAGTAGTAAATATTACAGTATATAGTCAAAACTAAAATTGGACCAAATTTAATGAATAGCAAGAAGCAGTTGAACTTAGTAAACTAAGTTAAACCACTTCTCTTCAACTTGAACCGGCGGTTTAGATCTTATAGAAATATTGTTTGGACTAAAGTTTTTTAATCTTTTAATTTTCATATAATTTATTTATGAAAGTTAGCACCTCAAAAAAAATATGATCAGCATTGCCTTTAAAAACACGCCGCTAGTTTCTATAGGCTACGCCTCTAACTGCTAGTTTTTAGCTAGCGGCAGTCGTTTGCACCTTTCATACAAATAATTACCCCTACGCTGTTTGGCAAATGACAGCAAAATTAAAGCCAATTTTATTTAATAGCTGAGAAGGTTCTCAAGTAGAAATTAAATTTAGTTTAAAGCCAAGTTTTTAATCTCTTCCAGCCAAAACTAAATGTAAATGTGATAATTTTTTTTGTCTTTTACGAAATGACCTAATAGAGTTAAATAAGTTTTGAGACTTTACTGCTCTTTCCAAAAATTTAAAGAATGGATCGTAGTGTTAAATTCTAAAATCAACACACAATTACTTATAAAACTTGTGATCTCTGTATTCTCTAAAACACGGAGTAAAGGAATCGAGTCTTAGCCAAAAATTCAAATTTTCTAATCACTCTATCTTTGCAGCCTGAGGGTGTAAACCTTTGAAATTTCAAACTTATATAATTTGTTCCAATTGATTTCATAGTTTGAAATATCAAAGGTCCATGACATTGGGTTGCACAGATATAAGGTTTTGAAAAGCAGAGTTTGCGGCAAAGACTCTAATTCCTTGTATCCTAGATGTGAACGGATCTAAATACAAGAAACATGGACATGGACATGGAGCAAAAAGGGGGATATAGATAGATAGATAAACTAAACATGTTTAGGTCTAAACTAACTTCTTTTATTATCAAAGTTGTGTCTTTCATTAAATTAAGTTTGTTCTCCCTGTTTTCCATTCTCTAATGAAAACAAATTTCTCCTGTATTTGTTTCCTTTCTTTTAGATTCAGTAATTTTAAACAATTTATTTTTAGTAATTTTTTCTCTCCCTCTTGTTCTTTCCCGTCATCTCCTCTTTTCATCCCTGTCTACCCTGTTCACTCTGAGACTGAATACAGCTGAGAGAACCCAGAATATTTAATTTAAATTGAATTAACTCGACATTTTGGAGAGAAAACAAAAATAAATTGATTCTTTTATTTTCAGAATGAGCGGAGGCAGTTTGCGAGTAAATCTCTAGACCTGGGAATGGAGGGTGGAGAAACCACACCCACCACTAATCCAGTCCTGAGCTCCGCCCCCCCTGGGATCCCCAAACTGCTGGAGGACCGGCACAACAACAACACGCGGGAGAACAGTCCCAAACACATCAACATGGCCTCCGACATCGAGCAGTTCCAAGGGAAGATTGTCTACAACCCTGACGGCTCGGCGTATATCATCGAGGACGGAGACTTCAGTGACGAGGAGTCCCTGGACCTGCCCAGACAGGAGGGCAGCATCGTTGAGAAGCAGGGTGAGGAGAACGACGTAGATCAGTTCCCAACCATAGAGAACGCCGTCTATGTTTCCAGGACCAAGAGTCAGTATCCTTCTTATGTGCGTGCACAGACATCGTCAGATCGACCCACTGTGCACAGCTACAGGGTGTATAATTACAGACATAAATCTAGTGATAAGCAGGGGTCAGAACTCATTAACAGTGGGTCAGCCCCGGATAACGTACCAGTGAAACCAATTCTTATGTGTTTTATATGTAAACTCTCTTTTGGGAATACAAAGTCATTCAAGAACCATTGTATGGACGATCATAGTTTAGATTTTAATGATGATGAAGTAGATATTCTTAAGATAGAGAATGTGTCTGCTCTGGTTCAACCTGTTGGGAAGGATAAATCTCCTCTTCTCTCCTTCCTTGAACCAGTAGTGAAAGGACACTACTCCCTGCCTTCTGATCAAGTTCCTAATCTGCATTCTCCCTCAAAGTCCCCCGGTGAGGGTGGGATTAGGGTTCGGAATGATCTTGCAGCCTCCCAGATATCTCCGATCTCAAACGGAAGAAACAGTGAATCTCCAGGGGTAGAGAGCATGTCTCCTTCTCCCAACTCTTTCAACCAATCCCTGGGTTCCTTCTCCTCTCTCAAGGGAACCACTATAGGAGCGTGTCCGGAGCATGTACAAGGACGTGCCCCCGGAGTAGAATGTGCCAAGTGTGATCTGATCCTTAACTCCAGTAGGATGGGGAGTGCAGGATGGAACGCGAGCAACAATGCCTGCAAAACCCTGAAATGTCCCAAGTGTAACTGGCATTATAAGTATCAGGAAACTTTAGAAATACACATGAAGGAGAAACATCCAGAAAGTGAAACCACTTGTATCTACTGTATCACAGGACAGCAGCATCCCCGTCTTGCCCGGGGAGAAACCTATACCTGCGGATACAAACCCTACAGATGTGAAGTTTGCAACTACTCAACTACAACCAAGGGTAACCTCTCAATCCACATGCAGTCAGACAAGCACATCAACAACATGCAGGAGTTACAGAACGGGGGAGGAGAAGCTCCACCCTCCCCTTCACCCAGTCAGACCAGTAAATATGCTACACCCTGTAGCACTCCTAAGCCAGCAGATCTAGACAAGGATAAACCCTGTTGGCGGTGTGATATTTGCAACTATGAAACAAATATAGCTCGGAATCTCCGTATTCATATGACAAGTGAAAAACATATGAACAATGTGATGAATCTTCAACAAATTCCCAACATGGATGCTGGATCCCCTCTCTCCCTCCAATCCATGCCCAACGGTCCCAGTCCTAGTCCTGGTCTTCAACAACTGCTCCAGGGTATGCCCAGGATGCCCAACAACATGTCCAGCAGTCCTATGAAGGAAGCTGCCATGGCTGACATGGCTTTTAACCAAGCTCTTCTCATGCAGATGATGGGAGGTGCCCCGGGCATGCCCGGCATGCCACCCTTGCCCTTCCTTCCCCCTGGAGACGGTCAGGACCATGTTGAGATGGACCAGTCGGATCCAAACCCTCGCCATCTCTACAACTGTGCTGTCTGCCGGGAGTTTAGTTGCGACCATCTTCAGATTCTGTCCGACCATCTCGCGGTGGATAGAACCAAACTCCGAGAATCCGAGGTTTCCCTTCTCATTGGTGGAACCTACATCTGTAAACTCTGCTCTTACAAAACCAATCTCAAGGCTAACTTCCAGCTCCACTGCAAGACGGACAAGCACTTGCAGAAGCTCCAGTTGGTAAATCACATCATGGAAGGGGGGCCGAGCAACGAGTGGAAGTTGAACTTCATGAATGTGTCAAACTCAGTTCAGCTAAGGTGCAACGCCTGTGATTTCTACACAGATAGTATTCACAAACTCCAGATTCACTCCGCTAACCAGGGACATGAGGTCTCCGCTGCCATTTTCTCACATCTCAGGAAATCTGAGTCGGAGCTGAAGGGAGAGAAGGTGAACTACAACTGCACCCTCTGCTCCCACTCAGCCCAGGGTAAAGCTTTGCTGCTCCAGCACTGTAGAAGCGTCAAACATCTTCAGATGGAGCAGCTCCATCTGCTTCAGAGAAGGGCGGAGGGTACCGGCGGACACCCGGAGATTGGAGAGATATTCACAGTCGCCGTGGCAGATGAGAACGAATCCTACAGTAAAGGTTAGTAAAGATTTATTATTTGTTTAAAGTCCTTTTAAAAGTCTGTTTTCTAACTCTTCTATTCATTTGTTTATTTATATTTCATTCAATATTTACTAAAAAACAGTTCGTAGACCCCCACTCTCTATCCCCTCCCCCCATCGCCCAGGGATAAAAAAACATGCATTTTTATACTCCTATCATAGACTGATTTTATATATATATATGTACTACTATAGTCTAGTGGTAGTCTATAACCAAGTTTTACAACCTTATAATCAAACTTTACGGGCGCGGCCCGCGCAAGAAGAAAAAATTAACGGAAATGACTTTTTGTCTCTCCCAAACCAATTCTAAACAGAAAACAAACCGGGTTTACTTGCCTCCCTCCCACCCCCTCCCCTTTAAACCAGATCAAATAGACGGTATTCAAACAAATTTTTATATTTCAACAAAAAATGTATTTTTTCTTGTTCCGAATTGTTAAGAAAGGATGGGGGGGGGGACAGTTTTTTGATAGATTACTTTTTTTAAATTCTCAGAAAAAAAACAATTAATCTGAAAGGTTTTGACACGGTTCGCGCATTATTCACACATTTTTGGGGAATATTTATTTTTTTAAATAAAAAGATTTTTTACCCAAAAAACTATTTTGTGTAATATATTCCTTAATAAATTTGATTAATAGTGAACGGTTCATTGAACCGGGGCTTTTTAGTAAAAAGAATCATCAGTCAAATGTATAGAGAATTTCCCCACCCCCGAAACCCAATCACCATCACGACCCTTCCCCCCCCCTCTCCCTACATTAAACCTATTGATTGTCCCCCCTTTCATTAGTTTCAGTTTTTTTAACAATTAGGAATGACAAACAGATTTTTTACAGCTAGGCGTTGATTTTGTAGATTTGAATCAGTTTGCCCCGCGCTCATAGCTTTTAATCATGAAATTTAAATTAGATAATTAGCTAGAGTGCAGTTCAGTGTTGTAATTGCGTGATATACTTTTAAATGCCTTGA